AGGAAGTAACAGAACTTGGAAACTATTTTTCTGAAAGCTGGGTAGTTAGTGAAATTGTAGGCTTTGGGGTTCACACTTTATGATTGAAACAACAACGTCATGAAACAACCACATTAATGAGAAACATCATGCTATCATGTGGACAGGCAAAAGTATTAGAAATCATAAAGTGTATTGATAACGCTATTGATCAATCAAAAACTACAGTACCTATGAGCATAAGATGTACCCCAGCAGCCTTGAGTTGGTCCACTGATTGTGCTCGTAGTCAGTCAGGCCAAGCAGAGAGAGAGTAGTAAAAAAAAAAGACAAGAACACAACTCTTCTACGTATTCTGTTTTAAAAATAAACTCCTCTAATTTTACTACTGCTGAATTAAGAAATATAAGAATTTCTTAGAATCCAAACTGAGCCTCTTTCTGATAGTTTTATTTGATCACCCCTCTTCCATATACTGTACTTTTCCTTTTATCTTAGGGTATTTTTCCAGATCAAAAATACAGATCCAGGGCTCCAGTGCACTATCTGGTGTGTCTTCCGACTGTCCTTAAAGAGGAAGCTGAGTATTTCCACCACACCACTGAATGGCTTTCTGACAGTCACCGGATTCTTCAAGAAAGGAATAAAACTAATGCCATCAGATGGAAGCAAGAAATCTCCTTCTCAAACACTTGTCTGGAGACGTCAGGGAGTATTGAGCTTTACAGCTTCACTAGCAAGATGGAATCGTCTAGATAGGCAGTAAGATCCTGACGGATCCATACTGAGACACTGAATCTGCTGTCGTTGCTGTTGACTCCCTGGGGTCCTCTGTACACGCCTGGCTGACCAGCAATGAAGAGTATCACATCTGACCTAGACAAGGGACTTGCCAAACTCTCTGTAACCCCAACACCTAATGTTGGAACAAGGACGTGGCAAATGCACAGCCGGATCTTTGTTTGTTTGTTTGTGTCAAATTTAATGGAATGAGTGCTCTCCACATTCTGGGTGTTTTTAGACATGGACCCCCTCTGAGGGGCAGCAGGTAGCACTGCCCCTCCACACACACTGGCAGCTCCTTGACTCCACTCCGGCCACCACGCCTTCCCACATCATCAACTTTCCCTTTGGACAGGATAATTTTCAAAACACACAGACTTGCTCTCATTCTCCCAGGTCTTCAGAATGCTTTCTCTGGTCCTCATACCCTCTTCCACGCAGATCCGTGACTGCTCTCCTTCAAAGACCACCTTCTCTTAGAAGTTGCACAACAAACTTTCTCTACTGCCTCACCTCTCATTAACTCCTCTTACCAATCAAATCTGGCTTCTGTTCTGACCACCATGCCACGACTTCTGCTGGCCCTGTCACAAACAACCTCCACGCTTCCACAGCCTAAGGTCACCTTTCTTTCCTCGTCTTAGTCATCTTCTCAGCAGTCCCTTCTCAAAACAGTCACCCCTCTGGGCTTCCTCAGTATCACATTTCCCACCCATCCTTCCATGTCTATTTCTGGCCTCTCTTCAGGCTCAGTCTTTGGCTCCGTCTCTAGATGTTGGGTTCCCAGGGCACAGAGAGTCACTCTCTTTAGCCGTCCTCCCTGGTGGTCTCACCTTTCCCATGGCTTTCAATCTGGTGACTCTCAAATGTAAGCCTCCAGCACAGATTGTTCCTCTGAGCTCCTGATGGCCACATCCAACTATCCACCACCATCTCAACTTGCACCCTTCACAGGCTTATCAACTATTACAGCATCACAACGAGCAAGGGATTCCTTTCTCCCCCAAGCCTTTGCCTTCCTGTCTTCCCTGTCCCAGTCTCTTCCATCTACTCACTCACTGAAGCTAGAAATCTGAAAGCGATTCTTAATTTGCCCCTCTCTCAACCCATAGCCAACCTACCAGCAAGTTTTTTGTTTTACCCTTCAGACTATACTCTAATGGCTCAAGGGTTCTGAAGCATGGGGCCTTTCCTACTTCTCCAGCTGTATCACAAACCCTCCCTTCCATGCCAGCCACACAAGCCACCTTGCTGTTCCTAGAACATGCCAAGCTCTTTTCCACTTTCAGGCCTTTCCTGCCCCTAGTTCCCCTCCCTGAAATCCTTTCACTGCTGCTTTTCACCCGGATGGATGCTTCATCTTTTATGTATCAGAATACTCAGAATTCTCTTCTTAGAGAGAAATTCCCGGACTATCCAACAGTCATGGTTTTATCTATCATTACGTCTTGTGTATTTTTCTTTAGAGGATTTATCACAATTTATAAATTCATAGTTATTTTTTGTTCACTTGTTTGTTGTCTATATTTCTTCCTTGAATCCCAGTTTGAAGAGTGACAATTAAATGTCTGCTTTGTGTAGTGATACCCAACATCTAGCACCACTTGTCACGTACAGTGTGTACACAATTATGGGTGTATACACAATTAGTGTGTATCTGTTGAATAAATTAGTAAGTATTTTAGATGAAGAACTCACCAAAATGAGGTGGAATAACTTTCCAAACCAAAAGCTTAAAATCCAGAATCGGAGTGCAGGTCTCCAGATGCAGATTTATCACCTTCCCCACCACACCATCAGCTTCTCCCTAAGGTGAACCAAATAAAGAATCCATGGAGGGGTCCACTGGGCTTAATGTTCTGCAGGGGGACTGAATGAATGTATCAGCAAGGCATGCTGCTTTATAAAGGAATCCTTTTATCCAGCAAAGTTTATAACTGTTAACTATTCACCAACAGCTATCAATTGCTAGGTATCAGTTGCTAGAAGATGTTCAAGACAGGGTCACTGCTGGGCCTTCACAGGGTAAGAGTGAATAGTCCACTGCACACGCATCACCACATAGGCCCTGGATCCAAGAGAGAGAGGCCATGACGCCACTCACTGAGTCTCCCCGATACCCCTCACCCTCCATGGGGACAGGCATGCAATAGCATGAAGATGACATGTGTCCTCCTGTTCAGCAAACCTTAAGAGCCTGGGAATGCCTGAGACAGATAGCTATGTGGAAATCCACAAACAATGATGTAAATGTAGGCATTTCTTATATATATATACATGTATACATTATAGATGTAAAAATATTTTTATAAATACACATATATTATGTATATAGGTACATGTGTATTCAGATGTATACCTACTGACAAATATACAGTTTTATCCAAATCTGTATCCAAATACATATGCATACATACCACATATGTATATACATATAAACACACACACACAGAGATTAATCCAACTTTCTGTTTGACAACCCTCCAGATATTTACACATACCCATAAAAATCTTGAGAAAAAAATGTCTCTTGTATTTTTTGGGGGTGAAGACAATATGCCAGTATTTCTTACAGTGTCTTGCATATCCCACAGCAAAATATGAGGCAACAAGCATTACTCTTTAAGCCGTACTGTACTCTTCTCTAAGCTGCATTGTTTAAATATCTACTTGTTTAGAGAGTCTGCAACACCAGTGCTGTCTGCACGCACTGGTGAATCTTTTAACAGTGGCAGAGTCTCTTGTTAGAATTAGTGGATAAAGAAGTGCTAAGAAAAGAAAAAAAAAGAGTTGCCATATAAAGGGAGAACCATTAACTCCCGGATTCCCAGAAGAATGGAATATTAAAAGTTTTTATTTTATTGCAGTGAGTCTTCTCCCCCCTAAATCACCTGCACAATGCTCAGGACCAGTGCAGGATGCCAATGGCTCCAACCATACTTACCTCACACAGCCAGGTTAGACTATCGCTGTCACTTGTGTGAACCAGAAAAATCATCACTTCAAGAATTAAAAATCATTCTAATTTACTTACTTATAGATACCTTGTAGCTACTTATAGATACCTGATGTATAATCAGCCCTCCCCTCTATATCCACCAGTTCCACACCCACAAATTCAACTGTGGATTTAAAATGCTAGAAAAAAATGTCAGGAAGTTCCAAAAAACAAAACGTGAATTTGCCATGCTGGGATCTATTTATATAGCATCTACATTGTATTAGATATTAAAAGTAATCTAGAGATGATTTAAAGTATAGAGGAGACTATGCATAGGTTATATGCAAATACAATGCCATTTTATATAAGGGACTGAGCATCCGTGTATTTTGGTATCTGCAGGGGTCCTGGAACCAGTCCCCCATGGATACGGAGGTACTGAGGGAAAACGCACTCTCCCTCTCTACACACACTCCCTCTCTCCATATACACACACACACACACATACACACACACACACACACATCTCACACATATATATATACATATACATGTGCAATAGAATTACTAGCTATACCATATGATTCTTTACAACCAGAGGTGGATCATTTTACAAAGTTCAACCATCCAATTGCCCCTTCAATTTTGCAAGTGAGGGGAAAAAATGACCCTTCGAAAGCCAGAGGGGGCCTCTTGTACTCCTCTGTCATTTCCGACTTGTTCTCTCTAATACTCCCACGTCCACAGCCAGCCCAGGCTGACCGTAACGGTCCTGAGGGTAGAGCTCCTACCACTTGCCTAAGCTGTGGCGAGTTCAGAAGCTCTAAGCTCTAACTTTTTCTTTCTTTCTTTCCTCTTTCCCTGCTAATCAGATTAAATGTTCCTTTGTTTAGTTTACGCTTATTATAATATGTATGATGCTAACTATTTCCCCACCCTCCTTGGTTTTTAACGTATCTAACATACCTTATTCCTAGGGTTTTGTTGGAGTTTCTCTCCCTATATTTGATCGTCACCGAAAAAATGTCTCCATATATTTAACTCCTTCAGACAATCCATACAAATTTAGTTTCTATTTCATCTCTTTCGTATGAGATGCCATTCCTGGTAGAGCCCACCAGGGAAACAACTATGTTACTGTCCCTGAGAAACTGAATTTTTTAAAAATGTGCTACTCAAATGTACTGATTTCCACTATTCACTTTAACTCCATCCAAACTTATACATGTAACACACACATACACACACACACAAAGTTGATGATAGTTAGATAATTACCAAACACTGACACCTCTTCCATCATATAAATATACTCTTATAAGTGGATTTAATCTTCAAATTCAGTAAATACATTTCATAGATTAGTCATAAAAGCAGCCAGTGACCAGTAAGAGCACACCTAACAGTATTATTTAAAGTCCTACACTCAACCCCAAATGGAACATCTTCATTCATTGTCTCTGGAGGGTTTTTCTAGCCAGCTTCCTGTGCTCCCTGCCACATGACTGAACTACACTCCCTGGGCAAACACAGTGTGGAGAGATCACAGCCTTCACCAAAGTCCAAGCACATAACGCACTGCCCTCTCTCCTCACTCTTTCTAGAAGTGTCACCAAAAAGATATCTTATTTGTTGAACTGAAACTTTATGATGCAAAATCAATCCTCTTAAAAAGATTTTTAACACTTCATCTGAAAGCTTCTGAAAATAAATCAATACGCCAAATAGAGAAATAAAAGGAAACATATTACCCCAAATGAGATAGAAGGCTGTGACGAGAACATATCTGCTTTTTTAAAGTATATTTTACTCATTGACACAGCAAATACAATTCACCTTCCTTTCTTCCATGGATTGCTGGTGAAATAGGTCAGGAAATGTGTTTGAACTCGTGTGACCGATGCATTACACCTATGAAACACTTCCAAAGTGTTGATCTGTGTGAAAGTGTCACGTACATCAGATATTCAGCCAATTGCCTTAAGATAAACGGTAGTCGCGTAAGTATTAGAAAGTAAGAGTAACCATCTGAAAACTACAAATATTCAAACCTTTACTAAAAGCAGCTTGCATGTGGAATTTAAATGATGTATAATACATAGAAAAAGGCTCCATTCCAAAGTTCTACAAAAAGGAATTGTATTTACAGATGACATGAACTAAGCAAATACATCTAGCATCGTCTGGAAAACTTAATAGCATGCCACAACTTAATATCACAGTCAATGTGAATAACAGAACCCATAATTATTTTTGTAATAATCAAGCCAAAAGCAAAGAAATAAACGAAGCAATATAAAAATGAAACAGAAAAAGACAAAGGAAAGGACCAGGAAAACGTTTATGATAAAACTGAAACGGCTTGAGAGACCAGTTAAGGTCCTGAAGTCTTTTTTTTTTTAAACACGCAAGCCCTGTCACTAACCGCTAAAATGCCCTGGTGATCTGCAGATACCTCAGATCTTCGCTCTTCCCCCAGAGCGCCCTCTCACTGAAACAAGGTTTAATGGAAAGTACAAGATGTGCAGAGAAGATTCAGGCAATCTCCCCATCATGGGAGCCCGGAGTGAAAGCCACACGCCTCTATCCTACAGCGGCTTCTACGTGGTCATCCTTTAATGTGCCTCCGAGTCAGGCCCTCGGTATTCAAACAGCTGCAGAGTAAAATGCTGTGCCTGAAACACAGTCCGCACACCACGCAGGGCCTCTGTTCCTTCACTAACAGGGAACTCCTCTGTCAGGAGGCTTCCAAAATGCAAATACGACCTAGGCTTCTCAGATGGATTTGATTTCAATCAAAATTAGTGCCAAACAAAAATCTTTGATATGCAAAATGTCTACTCTAGTGAATAATAAAGAATAATTCCCACAACCATCCCCAAAACGTTATCTTCCAAGAGGTTAAAGGAAATAGCAGATCTGTAAATGTTAACATACCTGCCGTAAAGCTGAAGACAGGGAGAGACGACCGTTAAGGGAATCAAATGATCAGAACTATAACCCATAAGATCTTGGGAAAAGTTCACATTTCATGGTCTTTAATAAAGCAGGCTGTTATCACCCTCATCTGGAAGTATTTCGAAAGTTTAGAGTTGAGTGCATATTAAAAGCACATTTCATCAATAAATTTTCACATGCTGAACATATTAGCAATATAATTTTTAAATGAAATCTAAAAATATCGGATAGAATTATGTACAAAGTGAAGGCGCTTGGTTTTTACATGTTTTCAACCATATTACATATACAATTAACCCACTTTAAGTTCATAAAAATCCAATCTTCATTGTATGTGATTTGGTGTACACATTTGCTTCTTTTAAATATAGTTTAAGATTTATGTAAGCATGCACAATTAAGTGAATACGTTACATAACCAAACTTGTTTTTCATAAGAAAGTGGAATAAGTACATGTTGTTTTTGTTGTGACCCGTTGTAACTGGTGAGTTCACGCAGCCCCTGCTACGAGAACAACTGCTGTCTATTTTTAAATAATGAATAATCTGCTCACAGGTGTCAGTACATGTGTATGTGGATATTTATGTGTGTGGAGAAGAAATGGAGTAAATTCTCTGACAACATGTGTTTGTTGTTCTTAAGTAATCTCCAAAGGACTTTTTTTTTTGGCCATTTGCGCATCATCTTTGGAGAAACATCCGCTCGGGTCCTTCGCCCCTTTTTAAATCTGGTATTTGCTTTGTTGTTGTTGCTGTTACTGTTGTTAAGCTGTAGGAGTTCTTAATATATTCTGGATATTAACCTCTTATCAGATATGGGATTCCAAAGGATTTTTTTAAGAGCAGCAGAAGTGAATGCCAAGGAGGACGCTTAACTCAAATCATGATTTGCCCCTGGTGACTGTTTTCTGCTACTGCCAGGCTTTTGTTACCCGCAAACTCTAACAAGTGCAGTGAAGGGAAGGCCCATGTTACCTGTTCCCTAAAAAACTAGATTCTTGAGAGCACTTAGATAAGATGGAAGCAAGATGGAGTCTGGAGAGATTCTAGGACCCTCTTATTAGAGAAGATCCCAAGTAAAATGGATAATTCACATAGCAGCTAAAAAGTTACATCAACTCATTCTATGCTAGGATCACGGAGACAGAATTTAAAAAAAAAATGCTCTGTTTTAAAATCTCTCAAGAAAATACTGGTGGCAACAGTTTGATTAGTGATGTAACTGAATATGCCGTGCAACTACTAGAAATAGTAATCCAGCTAGCAAAGAAAAAAATATCCCCGCTGGGGCCAGAAAAAATGACCAGCCGTACAGCACAGAAGGGGTGAAATCCAAGCAGTCTTTCATTTTCATGTTTTTGTAGCTTTCCATGTCAGCCACTGCCTGGACCCAGATGACATACAGCATCACCACCAAGGAAAACAGGATGCCTGAGAAGGACAAAACAAAAGACCTTTAGCCTTTCTGAAGATGTCTGCCCAAGAATGCTATATCAGACCAATCATATGCCTGATGATATAACTATAAAAATATAATTCTAACTAACTCACCTACTTTGTGTCAGACCTTTTATTGTATGCTTTATAGGCACATCATTGATCTTTAGTTTTCAGAGCACTGTGGTGAGGGCTATAGTTGCAGAAGAAAAATGGCAACAGATGACATGTATTTACCGAGTGCTTACTGTGTGCCAGGTACTGTATTAGGTGCTTGTGATCCCTGCCTAGCGGAATTTATTTTCTAACATTTATCCATTTTTACTGTATACCTCGTTTGTGACAAGCACTGTTATACATTATTTCTTTCAATGTGTACAATAAACTTGTGAGACAGGTACTATTAACCCACAGTTTTAAGTATATGCAAACTCAGCTGGTAGTTTTCATAGCTGATTTTCAGTTCAGGTCTTTCTGACTTTTGTTATATTATTATAACACAGCTAACTGGTGTTGCAGTTACATATGGCAATGAAAATAGAAGCCAAGGTAAGTACCAGACAAGAACAGAGATGGAAGCACTGAACTAATGTAAAAGAATATACATGACTCTTTAAGAAACATTCTGTGGAATATAAAACCTCAGGTTTGAGATCAAGAGGCTTATTAAACAAAAGAAAGGAAGGAAGAAAGAAAGGAGGGACGAAGGGAGGGAGGGATGGAAAATGCTTAACCACTAACTAGAAGGCAAGATAATTTATCAACCATTTCAATGTAACTGCAATCTACCTATTCAAAAATATTGTTGGAATTATAAGGGTAGAGAAATACCACGGTGTTGGACCCTTGACCTAAACAAGCAATATGACAGAAGGGCTTTATGAATGCTAAAATTTGAGACTACTACTAAGCATATGCTTTTCCATGTGACTGTTATTGTAGCAACAGAAGGAGGCGATACCACTGCACTGAGCTGCAGATTCAGAAGAGCCTGCTAAGCTGATCCACTAGTGAGTGAGGTCCCCACACACGAATTTGCCCCAAAGCAAAATATGCTTAAGGACACTTGCAATTTGTCCAAAAGTTCAATCCAAACTCGTCAAGGATCTACTGTACTCTCTGAATTAACTAACTGAACCATCAGGTATAAAATCTCCATATCCTAATTGATATTCTGTCTAGAAGGTAAACACCACCCTGTGATCAGAAGCAGAGGCTGGGGAACGTGGGCAGGAGGGAGTTGCTTTTACAAACCTAGCCATCAATCACTCTTCTGGGGTTAACTGTGCTCCTACAGCATTTAGGATGTCCTCTCCCTCTTGCGTCATCAATTTCATAAAGAATCTTGACAAGTAAACACGGAAGAAGGGCCCATACGTATGTTGAAGTATGTCAGCATCAGAGCTGAAACTTTCTCCTAATCATGATACAAACTACAAAGCTGTGAAGAATCAATTGTAGATGCTTCACTAATAAGAACCATCCTTCACTCTGTTGTCTGTAATGTAAATGCAAATACCGGAGCACAGAATAGAGCAATTTAACCACTGAACGACAACTGCATCACAGAAACATAGTAAAGCCATAGCCCGCGAGCAAACTCCTCACAGAGCTGAGCCGTGCCTCAGATTTTGACAACAATATGGTGAGGCCATGTGTTGTCTAGCAACTCTGAGCATTTCAAAACATTTTTTCAGAAAATATACAGACAGTATGCTCTGCTAATGTAAAGGTTTGGCTTGGTTATTTGCATACCATTTGCCTTATGCCAACACATTGCGAACCTTTTTTATTATTTGTTGATATGTTTTATTTTTAAATTAATTAATTTATTTTTAGTTTTGGCTGTGTTGGGTCTTCGTTTCTGTGAGAGGGCTTTCTCTAGTTGTGGCAAGCGGGGGACCGCTCTTCATTGTGGTGCGCAGGCCTCTTACTATCACGGCCTCTCTCGTTGCGGAGCACAGGCTCCAGACGCGCAGGCTCAGTAGTTGTGGCTCACGGGCCTAGTTGCTCCACGGCATGTGGGATCTTCCCAGACCACAGCTCGAACCCGTGTCCCCTGCATTGGCAGACAGATTCTCAACCACTGCGCCACCAGGGAAGCCTCCTGTTCTTTTTAATCTTCCTTACATCATGTGAATCTCTTGTGCTTTCAGGTATTTTCATTTTTAAAAATTTACTTTGTGAAAAACCAGTAGATTTATACACCTTTTCTTCAAAAATTGTAAAACCCATTACTGAATTTAGAGTATTTTTTGAAAGTATTGCAGGACATCATGTAGATGATTCTTAAGGAAGAATTAACTTATATTTAATTATTGCTGTTACTTGAAGAGCAATTACAGCCTGAAAGCAATGAATAATAGTTGTTTCTATCACTACAACTTTTTAACTTGTTCACTAGTTGGAGATATAGTCCATTTAATTCCTATCAGATCAGCCTATGATTATACCCGTGGAGTAAAACAGTACTTCCCTACTTTCCCTACCCGTTAAATTGCCAGTGTTTTATATGTATACATGTGTGTTTGTGTTTGTGTGTGTGTGTGTGTGTGTGTGTGTGTGTATGTGTGTGTGTAGGTAAAGACTGACAGATTAACAGAAGGAAAATGAACTAACAAACATGGAGAAACTATACCAAAGGCCAATGGTTCAGCTACTACGGTAGCAAAAATGGATGATGGGGGCCTGCATGAAGTAAGGGGCTAAGAGTCAGGAGACTGGTACTTATAGCTAGACTATTCAAATAAATACATATATTGAGGTTAATTGGAGTCAAGTTCTTCACTGCCTGAAAAGGGAGTTACAAATTTGAAAAGGGGGAAAGCTAGAATGAACTTTATGGTGTTTTTTTAAGAATTGAATATATCAGTGTGAATTTATGGCTTTAGATAGATAAATGAATGAATATAGAAGTAAAAGTATATGTTTGTTTTAAAATATACCTTTGTGAGTGTTTGTACCTAGATATATTTTCTGGCTCTGCTTCCTGAGAGGGTCTGGGAGCAACAAATCCCCAGTAGCATGGAGGACACCAAGTGTCCAGACCTTGGCTTCTAAATACCAGGAATTAGGACATCTCTAAGGAATAGTTGAGTCCAGGCTGGGACAGAAAGTACCACACGATTCTGGAACATCATGTTATACCAAAAAAGTACAGATGTGCTCAGAGAATAATGTGGGCATTTCAGAAGCCAGATCATGGGGCTTCTGCTAGCCAATTCTGAGAACATTTGATTATCAAACAAATAGTGATAGAGGCCCATTACATCTCATCAAATGAAACAGGAATACATGAGCCCACAGAGATATAAATAAGCGAGTGAATAAATAAGTGGGGAGAAGGGAATGCCTTTCATTCAGAATGCTAACTTATAAATGTAGAAGGAATAGCTGAATTAGAAATCACCATTTGGCAATCATTTAAGTCATAATTAATTCAGGCAAGAAGCAAAAACAGATACTAAAACTAGTGGATGAAATTTAGATGAGAAATAAATATTTACACAGGCTCAAAGTCTTTTCCCACAAAACACATATTAGTCATAAAGAAAAAATAGTAACTTCACACTAAAGAAACCTGGCAAATCCCACCTTACTCAAGTGATCAAAGTTAATATCACCAAGGACATGACAAACTGATGTCACTCACCACCTCATGAGATTCAATGAGAACACAGCATCACTGCTATGATACTGCAGCGAAAAAATGAAGAGCCTAAATCCAATCATGAGGAAGCATCTGACAAATCAATTCAGGAACATTCTAGAAAATCACAGGCCTGTACTCTTCAAAAGAGCCAAGCTCATGAAGGTCAAGGAAGGATTTATTCTGGTTTGATGGATACTCACATGACACATCTAAATGCAAAGCATGTTCCAGGACTGGATTCTTTTGCTATTAAAGACATTATTGGGAAAATTAGCAAAATTTGAATGGAGTCTCTGGGTGAAGGAACTTACAATTTCTGTGTAAGTCTGAAAATATTTCAAAACAAGAAACAAAATGAATTACTCAAAAAAAAAAACAAAACGTGTGGGGGAAGTCTGTGGCTGCGTGTGTTGGAGAGTGTATATGTTGCGGTGGGAGGAGAGTATGTGTGTGTTTCTTTCACACACCCAGAAAGACACATCTCCTTTCTGTGGAATATCGTGACTATTAATGAAAAGTAGTATTATTGATTTGGTCCACCTACCAAGTGAAGAGTCTCCTCTGGGGCAATACCAATACTATGGAAAAATCTTCATTTTTTTCCCTTGATATCTTAAGACCTTCATTCATAAAAACATAAGCAGTAACTGTCTTGAGTGACAAGTGAGTTACATTTCAAACCCACTTGCCATGGTGATTTTAGCAGGAATAAAAAACATTGCTAACATTCAGGTAATAATTTGTTTTAAATGAAGTTATATTTAAATTAGGTCATACATTTTGAAAGCATAATTTATTTCCTATTGAATTTTATAAATTTATATCTTTTGAAGTCCAACAAAAATTCATAAAACTGCTCAATGGAGGCATAATCAAAATATGGTCCCAAAGCCCACGGAGAGTTGTGATCACAATGAAACAATGGACAAATAACTGTCACATCAAGAACACGTTGGGTCTCTTTTATTGGCAGTGTGGGGAAGAGCCACTCAAGCTTATGATTTTTGCACAGTTTCTCTCACAAATGTCATACATTCGATTTGGAAAACATTTTTTGAAACAAAGGTCACATAAAAATCAGTCACAAATTAGGGACGCAATTGCTAATGATAAAAAACATGGAAATAAAACCAAAAGGATTTCCCCAACGCCAAGTCACAGACTGAGAAATAAAACTGCACATCTTCAATATTCCACAGATACAAGAACAGAAAAGAAAGCATACCAGAAAGATCATTTATTTATTTATTTAGATATAAGAACAGAAAAGAAGGCATACTAGAAAGATCATTTATTTATTTATTTATTGGCCGCTGCCACAGGGCCTGCGGGATCCTTAGTG